GATTGTGCTGGAGTTGATGATTTCTTTCTATGTGGAAGGCTGTAATTAGCTTGGGTTTGGTGTCTCTTGTCTTCAGGTCAGTTAGGTCAGATGAAACCCTAGGTTCTGTTTAACTAGTTTCTCCTGACCACAGAACTTATGAAAGAGAGCCATTGACTGTATTTCAGAATGCCTGTTCCCTCTTGCCTCACACCCTCACCATCCAGGTTTGAGTCTTAGGGGAATTTTCTCTTAAGGGTCCGTTTGAACTCTTAGACTTGGAGCTCATAGAAGTGTGCAAGGCCTTAGGACTGGGTTCCCTTGGAGTTTTAAATTTTGAGACTTAGCCTTTTAGCTCTTTACTAACATTTGGGTTTTCCTACCCAAGCAGTGGCTCCCATGGAGGTTTCTGCATTAGTGTGCTGTGAGTCTGTGGTCAGTCCAGCCGTCTGTCTGATTCTGGAGGCAGCTGTTTGCCCTATGTTGTAACCTTGCTTCTCCTAGGCATCTAAAGGGAATTGTTGACTTTGCAAGCATTTTTAATAATTGTTGGGACAAAGTGGCAACTTCCACCTTCCTGGAATGTCAAATTTGCAATGGGAAGTCACTACACTTATTTTCCAACTCATTTGTCTGCAGCCAGTGGTCCCCAAAACTGAGATTTTTTTTAAAATTAGTCACTTTTTTATTGGGTTTTAATTCTCAGGGTATGAAAGGAGTCAAAGACCGAGTTCCCCAAACAGGAGACAGGAAGACAATCATGGCCCAGAGTACACCCTGCGCACTGTCCCCTCTTCAGTGGTTATATGGGTTGCCATTCAGCTTTGAGTTCTTGTAAGAAAGGTAGTAGCTGGAAAGCATGTAAGCCGCCAGTACCAAGCCAACCCAGCAATGGACACTTCCTTTCTTCTCCTTGATGTATGTATTGTAGTGACCTCTTTAAAATGCTCCAGCAATGCCTTTAGGGGCAAAACCCCACATCAACATCTAGTGCAGCAGCTCCTCTACCTTGACATCTAAAGGTTTCTTCTTCTTCACTGGTAGGACTGGCACCATCTTGGAGTCCATTTATTCACCAAGACCAGTCATTGTGACCAGTCTTTTTCTCTGTCTCTTTGTCTCTCTGTCTCTCGCATCTGAACTATACTTGCATAGCCATCTGCCAGGGACAAGTTCTTTGCAAAGGAATTAGGCCATCCACAGAAAAAGCAGAGTCTGGAATGGCAACGTCGCAGTTACTATGCTCTCAACTGCTTCCTTCTCTCCCCAAAGACGAACCCACCTGTAGCTTTCTTGTCAGGATCCACTTGCAATCTCCACAGTCTGCCATAAAGAAGCCATTAGCAACTTGGACTCCAGTAAGTGCTCCCATGGCTGCTTCTGTTTTCCCAGATAGGACTATCTGTCCCCCGCCTTGTAAGGTGGCTTCAGTTAGAGTGGTGAGAGCATGGGCAGCAGCTTCACTGTTGAAGGCCATGGTGACAGTGGCTCCCTGTTGCATCTCCTGAGAAGTTGCAACTGCTGCTTTTGCCAGTGATACTACCACCTGGGTGGACTCTTGCATCATCTGGATGGTCATTTAACCTCCCTGTAATGTGGCTCAATTTTGTTCTACCTCTCCATCAGCCACAGCAGTGTAATTCACTGGGGCAACAGTGACCATGGTTGGCAGTTCTGAAGCATCAGCCAATGTGGCTACCGTTGCCCCTGTACCAAGCGACATGGTGCCATCAGGGTTGCTGAAGGTCTGTACTATGGTCTGTGATGGTACAAGATGGGCTACACTGTGTGTGGTGGTGGCCTGAGTTTGTGTTTGCTGATCTTCAAAAGCATATAAAAGATCCTCCCGCCCATGTTGCTTATAACAATTTTTAATTTTTTTTATTTTATGTATTCACCATTGCTCTCTTCAGACACATCAGAAGAAGGCATCGGACCCCAGATGCAGATGGTTGTGAGCCACCATGTCAGGACTTCTGGAAGAGCAGTCAATGCTCTTA